CCAACTACCTGCAGAGTAAAGAGCTATAGGGGACAGAGCCATGCATGACAGCTGAGGGTCCACATCGCAGAGATTGACCAGATCTTGCCTTTGATGAGTCCTGGAACCATACCTTGAGAGGGGTTATCTCTTACATGCGCATATTGGTTGTGCATCTGGTGAGTGCACAATCTTTTACCAGTTTTGGATATCACCATACATCACCTTTTTGGCTATCACCGTGTGTCAATAGAGATCCATCTGATCCTTCACTTCACCCTACCCACTGGGAGATTGTGAACTATATATTTGTGTGTTATTTGAGACTATAAGGGGCAGTATAATAACTATACCCTGCCTGCGTTTTGCAGGGATATACTCTTGCATTTTTGATATCTTGCATGTTTTAATATATAAGCGCTGCACCTTTTTTATATGTGAGTTTTTGGAGGTTTTTTGGTACCTTTTTTGTTCAGCAGCTTGGTTACCTTTAGCGCTCACTTATACCTATTTTTACGGCACAAATAAATATGTTGAGCAGTTGAATAATATTTGCAGATTGGTGGCCATAGAATAATAAATAAATGCAGCTCTGTATTCATAAATAAATAATTGTTAAATGTATTCTTTAATACAAGCAGTGTAAGTTCCTGAATTTGACTTGGTAACAACTTTTTTGCATTTCCTTTACTGAATGGCTCAAGTGTGAGGGGGAAGACGCAGCTCAAAAAACCAATAGAGCTCATCTGCTGATAGGAAGAGAAAGTAGAGTGACAGAGGTGAGCTTATTGCCTTGCTGCTTCCCTTTTACTGGAGAATCACAAGACTGGGGATAGTCCAGAGGACCTGGCCTCAGAGGAAGAGGGTTAAATGAGGCTGGCCATTAGACCATCTCAAGGTAGTTACATTTACTATGAGAAAAATCTCTGGACTGAAGGTGTATTTGTTGTTCTAACTTTTATTGGGCTATTCATCTGTATCTTGGTATCTTTGGATGGAGTTCGGCTTTAAATGCGCAAACCAAGTTTTATTTTACATTATTTCCAGGAAGAAATATTAACAATTGTTACTTATTTTTACAGTAGCAACAGATGAAATGAACTGGTACTAACTTAGAAAACAGCAACAAGTTCACATACAGACATACGACCTAGTTTACATTTTGAGCATTGAAGCGCACATCCATGGTTCACTGAAAGCACAGCCATTGCATAATAAAAAGCTTGTTTGAAAAGCATTTTTTTAAACATGAATTTTAATACAAATATTTGAAGGAATCCAGTAGTAATATATCTAGAAAAACAATCACAATAATGTACTGCATGTTTTTATCAATCAAAACTAGTGAATAAGGATAATATCTAATCATCCATCCTGTGCAGCTTCTATCACTAGTGTAGCTTTGACTGCTGAGCACAATATTTTAGAGGGTCTATAAATGGTTCCTTTAAAACATTACATTCGGCTGCTAGCAGAGAAGGTAGTGACTGAAGCAACGTAAATCTAACAGCAGGCATTAGACAGTGGACAGCTGCTTGGAATAGGTCAGACGGATGCTTTTTTTTTTTCTCCCTGTGATTTACATACACATGCATGATTTTTTCCTTCAAGCATAGAAAAGTGCTGACATCGGGGGCTCTTAATCAATCTGTGCACCAGCAGTGACAGGGATGAAATGGGGTAATGACAAATAGTTTCAAGTTGTATTCGTGTTCAGCCAGCAGAGGTGCCCTAAAAAACAAAGTAAACTTACCAAGCAAGATTTTTCTAAAAGCTTTCAGTAGCAAAAAAAAAAAAAAAAAAAGCAGAGCTGTAGCAATAGTAATTGTTGTAGCTGGAATCCAGTACTTTTTTTTTTATATGCACTAAACATTTTAAAGGATAAGTTCATCTTTTAGCAAAAAATAATAAATGCACATTTTTTTTTTAGGTAAAAAAATGTGCATTTACTATTTTTTTTTTTAAGGGCTTGGAAAGCATTGCACCAGCGACCATCAGACTTGTCAGTGTATCTGTGTGCTGGTACCTCAGGCAAGCAGATACACACTGACTGGAAGGCTCATTGAATTACCGCAGCACTCATTAGCACACTGTCGTAACTTGTGGTTTTCCCATAATGCTGTGAATGAGTGATGCGGACAGTAGGGCGAAGATCCCCTGCAAGCTGTCAAAATGGGGGAGAGGGAGGGGAGCAGGGGCCAGCCCCTAATAATATGTTACATGTTACACCCTGAATGTGGGTGTAACATGTTATGAAAGGTGAACTTATCCTTTAAGTGTTCACATGATTATCTAATATAGTATTTGAACTACACGATCAAATGCTACTTTGTTCAATTTTGGTGCAATGTTTAAATGATAAGCATTGTTTCAAGTTTAAGGAAAGATACGCATGGATTCATAGTGTTTGCATGGCAAGAAAAAGTTTACTACCTCATCCCAAATTGTTCTACACTTCCCAAAACTGTTATCACTTGGGGTATTAGTGAATTTTAGTGAGCAAAAACTTTTTTTTATTTGGGATTAAGTAGAAAATTGTTAGAACCTCTGGAGGAACTTGACATAATTAAAAATCCAAAATTGAAATGGTTTTCACCAATATTAAAAAGGGAAGGACCTCCAAAGTGATATTTTCTGAAATATTACCTGTGCCATGTGCAACTCAGGAAAGACGGGTAGATTAGAGAACTAAATGCATGGCTAAAGACTGAGGGATGTAAGTAAGAGGGAAGGATTTTGGTTTCTAGGTCACTGGGCTGACTTTTCATTGGGGTGCAACCAATGCCAAGCAAAATAGTTGAGTTGGAAGATTTGGTGCATGAACAGAACTATGATTTAATTGGTATTGCTGAATCTTGGCTTCATTCTTCACATGACTGGGCCATTAATATTCCTGGCTATGTTCTCTTTTTGGAGAGACAGGGTAAAAAGGAAAGGTGGTGGTGTCTGTCTCTATGTGAGAAGTGATCTCAGAGCGAGTGTAAAAGAGGACCTAGTTGATAGAGAGTGCGATGAGGCTGAAGCATTATGGGTGGAACTTCACATGGGGGTGCGTACTACAAAGGTAATCATTGAAGTTTGTTATAGGCCTCCCAAGATTATTGAGGTGGAGACTCAGCTCCTTGCACAGATCGAAAGGGCCGCAAGGGCTGGGACAGTGATAATGGGGGATTTTAACTACCCAGAGATTGACTGGAGTAATGGTACTGCAGGAACAGTTAAAGGGCAAAAATGTATAAACCTACTACAAGATCATTTTATGGTACAGTTCATAGAGGCCCCAACTAGGAATGATGCTCTGCTGGACTTGGTAATCTCAAACCATGCAGAGCTTATTACGAATGTCCATATAAAAACATCTGGGTAGCAGTGACCATAACATGATTTCATTTATTGTTAGCTGTAAACAGTAAGCACATACGAGGAAAATAAAAATTCTCAATTTTAAGAGAGCTAATTTTCCAAGGCTGAGAGCTGCTCTCCAAGACTTAGACTGGGAGGGAATATTGGCATCAATGAACACAACACAGAAATGGGAGTTCTTTGGCTTACGGGCCAAAGTAAAAAAAGCTATACATTAATAAATTAGCTTTTATTACAAAATAAAAAAATGAAGGAACACGCTATCAAACATTACAAAGAATATAACAGAATATGTAAAAAAGGAAATAAAATTGAAAACGAACAACAGTTTGCAAAAAATAGCAAGATAAAAACCCCCAAAAATTCTTCAAATATATTAATAGTAAAAAGGTCAGGTCCGAGCATGTAGGCCCTTTACAAAATAATCTAGAGTGGATGACTGGGGACAAAGAAGGAAAATATATTAAATACTTTCTTCAGCTCTGTGTATACAAATGGAGCTCTTGTCCATAATGGGCTTGATATTGGCGCAGAGCCAAATGATCCACATTGGCTCACAATTGATATGATCCAGATTTATTTAAACAGAATAAAGGTGCATAAAGCACGTGGACCGGATGGCATACACCCACAGGTCCTTAAAGAATTGAGTTCTGTCATTTCAAAGCCATTGTTTCTAATTTTTAAGGACTCTTTAATGACTGGCATAGTACCACTGGATTGGTGTAAGGCCAATGTGGTTCCTATATTTAAAAAAGGGTCACAATCTTTACCAAGTAATTATAGACCTGTTAGTTTACCTTCTACAGTTGGGAAGGTACTGGAGAGTTTAATATAAAAAAAAAAAAAAAAAACACATAGATGAGTTCTTGCTGGAAAAAAATATTTTAAGCAACAGACAACATGGATTCATGAAAGACAGAAGTTGTCAAACAAATCTGATTTTTTTTATGAGGAGGTGAGCAAAACCTTGGACAGAGGGGTGGTGGTGGATGTTGTATACTTGGATAGAGGGGTGTTGGTGGCCGTGGTATACTTGGATTTTACAAAAGCCTTTGACACAGTTCCCCACACATGGCTAATATGTAAGGTAAAGTCTACAGCCTTGGAAAAATCTGTATGTAAATGGATAGAAAACTGGCTAAAAGATCATATTCAGAGAGTAGTGGTTAATGATTCATACTCTGAATGGTCTAGGGTTGTTAGTGGTATACCCCAAAGTTCAGTGTTGGAACCCTTACTTTTTAATATATTAATAAACGATATAAGGTCTGGGATTAAAAGTCCCATTTCAGTCTTTGCAGATGACACCAAGCTGTGCAGTGGAATAGCGTCCTTACAGGATGTCTCCAACTTACAAGCCGACCTCAATGCACTGTTTAATTGGGCAACTATGTGGCAGATGTGGTTTAACCTCTTGCCGACCGCGCATAGCCGAATGACGGCTTCACAGCGGCCGGCCAGTTCTGGGTGGACGTCATATGACGTCCTCCCAGAATGCGCTCTCCTGCGCGCCCCAGGGGGCGCGCACCCGGCAATCTCCGTGATCGCTGTGTCCTACGGACACAGCTGATCACAAGATGTGGTAAAAGGCCAATCACAGCGGCCTTTTACCACGTGATCAGCGGTGTCCAATGACACGCTGATCACAGGGAAATGCAAGTGCCGGTTCTCGGCTGCACTTTCCTCACGCTGTCAGATCGTGAGGAAAGTACTGCCGAGAACCGCCAGTTGTCAGAGCAGGGATCGGCACCGATCATCAGGGCACTGATGATCAGTGCCCTGATGATCGGTGCCCAGTAGTGACACCCGCAAGTTCCGCCCAGCAGTGCGCCCACTAGCTCCGCCCACCCGTGCCCAGCAGTGCCCCCACCTGTGCCCAGCAGTGCACCCACCTGTGCCACTCTGCAGTGCCACCTACCTGTGCCCAGAAGTGCCACCTACATGTGCCCAGCAGTGCCACCCACCTGTGCCACCCACCTGTGCCCACCAGTGCCACCCACCTGTGCCCACCCACCAGTGCTGCCCACCAGTGCCACCCACCAGTGCAGCCCAGCAGTGCTGCCAGTCAGTGCCACCAGTCAGTGCCCAGGGGTTGTGCCAGTCAGTGCCGCCAGTCAGTGCCCAGCAGTGATGCCAGTCAGTGCCGTCTATCAGTACCCATAATCAGTGTCACCTATCAGTGCCCGCCTATCAGTGCTGCATATCAGTGCCACCTATCCGTGACCCCTAATTAGTGCTGTCTATCAGTGCCGCCTATCCGTGCCACCTCATTAGTGCTGCCTATCAGTGCCCTTTAGTGCCGCCTATCAGTGCCCATCAGTGCTGCCTCATCAACGCACATCAGTGAAGGAGAAAAAATACCTGTTTGAAAAATTTTTTATAAAAGAAACAAATAAACTTTTTTTTTTTTCAAATTTTTTGCACTTTTTTTATTTATAGCGCAAAAAGTAAAGCGCCCAGTGGCAATTAAATACCACCAAAAGAAAGCTCTATTTGTGAGAAAAAAAATGATCAAAATTTCATATGGGTACAATGTTGCATGACCGCGCAATTGTCAATCAAAGTGCGGCAGCGCTGAAAGCTGAAAATTGGCCTGGTAAGGAAGGGGGTATAAGTGCCTGGTAGGCAAGTGGTTAATGTTGATAAAAAGGTTATGCACTTGGGGACTAAGAATATGCATACATCGTACATACTAGGGGGGGTACAACTGGGGGAATCAATGGTGGAGAAGGATTTGGGAGTTCTGGTAGATCACAAGCTTAATAATGGCATGCAATGCCAAGCTGCAGTTTCTAAAGTGAGCAAAATCCTCTCTTGTATTAAAAGAGGTATAGACTTCAGATAGAAAGATATAATTTTACCCCTGTACAAATAATTACCGTATTTGCCGGCGTATAAGACGACTGGGCGTATAAGACGACCCCCTACTTTTCCTGCTAAAATGTAGTGTTTGGGCTATACTCGCCGTATAAGACTACCCCTCTTCCAATGCACACCAGTGGGAGGAATAGTGCCCCATCATTGGTGTCAGTGGGAGGAATAGTGCCCCATCATTGGTATCAGTGGAAGGAATAGTGCCCCATCATTGGTATCAGTGGGAGGAATAGTGCCCCATCATTGATGTCAGTGGGAGGAATAGCGCCCCATCATTGGTATTAGTGGCAGGAATAGTGCCCCATCATTGGTGTCAGTGGGAGGAATAGTGCCCCATCATTGGTATTAGTGGCAGGAATAGTGCCCCATCATTGGCATTAGTGGCAGGAATAGTGCCCTATCATTAGTATCAGTGGAGGAATAGTGCTCCATCATTGGTGTCAGTGGGAGGAATAGTGCTCCATCATTGGTGTCAGTGGATTGGTGTAAGGCCAATGTGGTTCCTATATTTAAAAAAGGGTCACAATCTTTACCAAGTAATTATAGACCTGTTAGTTTACCTTCTACAGTTGGGAAGGTACTGGAGAGTTTAATATAAAAAAAAAAAAAAAAACACATAGATGAGTTCTTGCTGGAAAAAAAATATTTTAAGCAACAGACAACATGGATTCATGAAAGACAGAAGTTGTCAAACAAATCTGATTTTTTTATGAGGAGGTGAGCAAAACCTTGGACAGAGGGGTGGTGGTGGATGTTGTATACTTGGATAGAGGGGTGTTGGTGGCCGTGGTATACTTGGATTTTACAAAAGCCTTTGACACAGTTCCCCACACATGGCTAATATGTAAGGTAAAGTCTACAGCCTTGGAAAAATCTGTATGTAAATGGATAGAAAACTGGCTAAAAGATCATATTCAGAGAGTAGTGGTTAATGATTCATACTCTGAATGGTCTAGGGTTGTTAGTGGTATACCCCAAAGTTCAGTGTTGGAACCCTTACTTTTTAATATATTAATAAACGATATAAGGTCTGGGATTAAAAGTCCCATTTCAGTCTTTGCAGATGACACCAAGCTGTGCAGTGGAATAGCGTCCTTACAGGATGTCTCCAACTTACAAGCCGACCTCAATGCACTGTTTAATTGGGCAACTATGTGGCAGATGTGGTTTAACCTCTTGCCGACCGCGCATAGCCGAATGACGGCTTCACAGCGGCCGGCCAGTTCTGGGTGGACGTCATATGACGTCCTCCCAGAATGCGCTCTCCTGCGCGCCCCAGGGGGCGCACACCCGGCAATCTCCGTGATCGCTGTGTCCTACGGACACAGCTGATCACAAGATGTGGTAAAAGGCCAATCACAGCGGCCTTTTACCACGTGATCAGCGGTGTCCAATGACACGCTGATCACAGGGAAATGCAAGTGCCGGTTCTCGGGGCACTCGGGGCAATGATGGGGCACTATTCCTGCCACTGATACCAATGATGGGGCACCATTCCTGCCACTGATACCAATGATGGGGGCACCTATTCCCCCCCACTGATACCAATGATGGGGCACTATTCCTCCCACTGATACCAATGATGGGGCACTATTCCTGCCACTGATACCAATGATGGGGCACTATTCCTCCCACTGACACCAATGATGGAGCACTATTCCTCCCACTGACACCAATGATGGAGCACTATTCCTCCACTGATACTAATGATAGGGCACTATTCCTGCCACTAATGCCAATGATGGGGCACTATTCCTGCCACTAATACCAATGATGGGGCACTATTCCTCCCACTGACACCAATGATGGGGCACTATTCCTGCCACTAATACCAATGATGGGGCGCTATTCCTCCCACTGACATCAATGATGGGGCACTATTCCTCCCACTGATACCAATGATGGGGCACTATTCCTTCCACTGATACCAATGATGGGGCACTATTCCTCCCACTGACACCAATGATGGGGCACTATTCCTCCCACTGGTGTGCATTGGAAGAGGGGTAGTCTTATACGGCGAGTATAGCCCAAACACTACATTTTAGCAGGAAAAGTAGGGGGTCGTCTTATACGCCCAGTCGTCTTATACGCCGGCAAATACGGTAATTATTTGTACAGGGGTAAAATTATATCTTTCTATCTGAAGTCTATACCTCTTTTAATACAAGAGAGGATTTTGCTCACTTTAGAAACTGCAGCTTGGCATTGCATGCCATTATTAGTTTTTTTTTTTTTTTGCAGAAATCACCAAGCATTCCCAGAAGTAAAAAAAATTCCCAAAAGGGAGAATCCAGCAACAGAGGTTGGCAATTATAAAATGTCTTGTCTGTTCTTCAATATATGTATCTGAAGTTTTGAAGTGAAAACATGTTATTTGTTAGGGAGTTTACACAGCATTTGTGACAAGTTGTTCTGCAAAAAACATACTGATCACTGAAATATGAGTAACTGCTCTAAGCAGTTGTGTACATAGCTTATCTGCATGCCTAGAGGAAGCCTTCAGGGTACTATCATAAGTAAAGTTCTTTAGCCATACTGATCATTGAAATATATCAAAGCAAATTTAAACAGCAATTTTGAGGCCTGTCTATGATAAGATATGAATCTAAATGCTGTAACCTGAATATCAACTTACATTTTAAACTGATATAAAGGACTGTGCCTGGTCTATTATTAAATAATTGTTTTATATCAGGTTACAGAAAATGTCAAAAACATAAACATAACAGTTTCATAGACCTGAAATATTGAACATGGCAGTTTTTGAAATTGGGCACTATGGCTGTACATATGTTGGCAGTGTGAGATCATCCAAGGTTCTGGTACCTCTCACCGCTAGTCTTGGGATATTTGGAATGAGATTTGGCAATGTCGCTACTGTACTACACAGTGTTCTCCTTGCTGGAGGTACATATATACCTAAGGATCTGCAGTGCAAGGATTTCCCTGCTTATGCTTCATTCAATTGATTTATTCTTTCTCAGCCATCTTTTTTGATCATGTCTTTATCAGTCATCAGATAATCAGTCATCAGGGTGAAGGTATGGGGAAGCAAAGTCTTTTCCAAACCAAGATAGTAACTGTATTCACACAAAGATGCAGTGTGAACAAGTTGATGATTGGGAAAAGATCTGTTTTCAGGAGACGAAAGGCAAAACTAGTGACTAGCCATTTCCCCTCTAGATTTTGTGGGGAACAGCATTCACAGATCCTCTTACATGACTTATAAAATTTACTACAAATTAAGCAACCAAATAGCTATACAAAATTAGCCCTAAAGTACAGAGAAAAAAAAACTACTATGAAAAAGAACATAGCATCTGATCACCATTTAACTTTTCCAGATTTACATAATTGAATTCAACAATAATCCTGATCAACAGGAAGTACCATTTGTATTTTTTTTATCCATGTACAGTACATGTATATATAATTCTCTTAAGGAAACAATGTGCTATGTCCTTGAAATAAATGTAATTATTATCAGGTTGTCTTGTCTGCAAATCCTGTTAATACTATTATTACATTACTTAAATGTCTGAATAATAATTTTTTGTATATAATCATTATCAAGCTGTTAACCATTTGAACGGGTACAAATCTAGTTCACACTGGTTTTATGAATCCACTAAGCAAATTTAGAATTTTTGAATTGTAAATATCATGTGATGATGTTCAACAGCATGCCCAAAATGTTTTCCAGATCTCTATGCATTTACATGGCATGTCTTAAAACTTGACAGGGAACCTCAGAGAGGAGGAATCCAAACACAAACCTGATACACTGTTCCAGGTCGTTAAGCTTGCCATCTAGCCCCAAACGCACCTGCACTGAACTTTTGCCTGTTTCATGGGGGTCCTTTTTAACCACCTACTCTGATCTTTTGCATGCTTGACCATTACCTTGCCTAACACTTAACCATTTGCCGCCCGGCCTATAGCCGTTTGGCGGACGCAAAAATGCATTACCTTTCCAGGGTGTACGCCATTTGGCGTCCTCCCGCACATGCGCAGTTCGTGCGGTTGCAGAGCCATGCAGCGGCGCTATCTGTCACTGGCCGTATACCTTGGACACGGCCGATGACAGATCTGAGTACCGCCCCTGTTGCCGGTACCATGTGACCTGCTGTG